GCTTTGCCTGCCTCCTCCACCTGCAGGGCCGTGAATCAAGGCTCTCCACTGCCCAGGAGAGGACTCCTGGGCTATACAGGCACTGTTGTCCTTTGTAATAACTGAACTGGCAAAGGGAGCATGGGCTGAGACTGCTCGGTCACCACAAGCCCTTCAGCATTTTAAGAGGAAGACTACACCACACGCACTTCACCCGTGAGCGAGTGATGCTTCTGCCATTCCAAGACACTCCATAGAGAAATGCTCTTGGTTCCAAGTTCACCCATCCTGAGGATGCAGAGCCATGTGCCTGAAAAGTAAGGCTGATACCAGATGGGTCTCCTCAACAATTCAATTTTCCTCTCCAGCTCCTGGTTAGACATCAGCCTATTCACTAAACCTTGTCACTTCTGTCAGAGCTGCACCTCTGTGAAGGGTTTCATTTTGGCAACAGGATCATTTCTTTAGGAACACTACTAATGACAGAACACATTCATTGAGAACCAGGAAAAAATTAAACTGATTTTACTCAATTCTTTAGTTGTAGAGATGAATTGTTTTCATATGGCTTTACACCAATGGTCTAAAATATCCCTTTAACACCACAGCACAGACTTCCTTCTTCTTTACCCTCTTGGGAGAAAGCCTATGTCATGACATGAAGCTGGGCTGGTTTTGGCCAGGACAGAGTTAATTTTCTTCACAGTAGCTGGTATGGTGCTGTGTTTGGATTTGTGCTGGAAACAGTGCTGATAACACAGGGATGTTTTCGTTACTGCTGAGCAGTGCTTGCACAGAGTCAAGGCCTCTTCTGCTCCTCCCCCCACCCCTCCAGCGAGTAGGCTGGGGGGGCACAAGGAGTTGGGAAGAGACACAGGCAGAACAGCTGATCCCAACTGACCAAAGGGATATTCCATACCATGTGACGTCATGCTCAGCCTATAAACTTGGGGGAAAAAGGAGGAAGGGGGGACATTTGGAGTGATGGTGTTTGTCTTCCCAAGTCACCGTTATGCGTGATGGAGCCCTGCTTTCCTGGAGATGGCTGAACACCTGCCTGCCTACGGGAAGCGGTGAATAGGTTCCTTGTTTTGCTTTTCTTGTGTGCCCTGCTTTTGCTTTACCTCTTAAACTGTCTTCATCCCAACCCACAAGTTTTCTCGCTTTTGTTCTTCCAATTCTCTCTCCCATCCCACTGGGGATAGCGAGTGAGCAGCTGCGTGGGGTTTGGTTGTTGGCTGCCTATAGTTTGCCCAACAATAGCAGAGCAGAGTATTTCACTGGTTGCAAAAGAGGAACAAGAAAAAACACATGGGAGTTTGCCAAATGTACACACAAACCAACAAGAGGAAGTATGCCAATAACTATACTCATTAATAAAAATTTGAATGCCGTTAATGAGAAAGACCTGAGGAAGTTTAAGACGTGAACATTGTACCCACTTGTCTGAAATATGGAATTTTCTGCCTGTGGTTGTAGTGGTAGCTTCAGTTGCAGACCCCTCTTGTCAACAGTTTTACCAAAAAAGCCCATTTTAGAGGTGTGTCATACTCACCTAATTCTATTCAGCACACCATACATATGCAAATGCAGAAAACATGTTTTGTTGAGTATTTTTTAAAGAAAGGTTCCATGGTCGTAAAACGTTAAACTTTTTCCCTTTCAGAAGGGGTGTGCCAGGTGCTGCTTGGCACCATCCGAGGAAAGCTACTGGTGCTGACACTTGAAAGGAGAAGAGCTCGCCACAGTCCAGGTATCGACAGTTTCGCCATCACAGGAGAAGGAAGAGACTTGACACCAAAGCAGCCAGAGGTTGGTGAAACAGCTGGAGAGGGATGCCAGCTGGGAGAGTACTGAGGACAACTCATTTTGATTTAAGCTTCCAGAAGAGAACGAAGGACAGTTGAATACGTAACTCCGAAGGTCTCTGCACAGATGTCTGAGCACACTGCTTCTCCTACAGAGCTCAGAGCCTCGGGCTGAGCAAGACCTTCCCTGCAATTACACCTCCCACTGACAGCACAAACTAACGCCACAAACTGCAGAGTTTGGGCGCTAGCAGGTACCTGTAGTGGGTGCAGCACTGCAGCTAAACACAGCGAGCTTCTTAAAAGGTTGTCGGTGGCACAGATGACAAAAAAAGGCATTTATTATAACTGCTCAAAAATTCCTGTCACATCCTTGCCGCCTTCTGACCGATGGAATAATAATACAAGAATCTAATGAATCAACCAGAAAACAAACAAAAAAACCCCACCAGCCTTTCCAAAGCAGGAAGCTGACAAAAACCATAGAGACAGCTCACATGACTGACTTCAATCCTTTATGTTGACAGTCCATTTATTCCTTTTTCCATCGCCACAAAGTTTACACACATACAGCTTACTCAGCAGCAAATCTCACAGGTGCATTGGGTGAGCAGATGCCTGCAGGTTTGCTCTCCTTGGCATGACATACACGATAAATTACATTTAAATTTAGAATTGGCAAGTACAAATCCTATGGCTCAGTTTCAAACACTCCAGGATGTAAAACCAAACAACTTGGCACCAGCTTTAAAAATACATACAGCGTATCTAGGAACTCATACTGTATGCACTGAACAGCTTGAAGACATCTGTACCACTGATGACTGTAAATTGATCAGCCTAGGTGTTACTGCTGTACCAGCTTACCTAAAATGCGAGTCAGAGTGCCCTGTAAAGTAGAACAGTGGACAGTAGCAGATTATTAAAGAAGGCAGTCATCATTTGAAAGTAGTTTGTTTGCATTTCTTTTTATGATCGTTCAAGTGTGAAGGTGTTACTCCATGCTACTATTGACGGGAATGTAAAACACATACTTGGTTTCAAATAGGTAGAAGATTAGGAAGAACAAAAAGAAAAGCATGCTATGTGTACGAAGCTCGCTGATAGGGAACAACTCCTGTCTTGAGAGTATTCTGCCCAGTCTACCTCTGTTGGAAGATATCTTACATGAAGGATCCTCGCAGGAACGAGGCTTAAGAGTTTTTATATATATATATATATACACACACACACACTCCCTCTAAATACTGTGCTAAGCACCTGCCTTCTTCCTCAGATTAGCAAGGCAAAAACCACTCAGGTCACATGCATTTTTTATGCTCTAGTTATTTTAAAAGGTAGAAGGCTCATTGGGTTGATTTGAAAGAGTTCTCAGCATGAACAAACGTTTCACAAGCTTTAGCACTATGAAACTATTCAGTTACATCACACATCAATAGATTAAACTAATTCCGGTCAGCTAAATTCTAGCTATATATTTTAAGTAGCAATTGTGTGAATAACAAGCATTCCACCACTTTTGGCTGGATAAATGCACTTGATGTTATGTTACACATTCTCCGAAGCCTACAGGACAGACACAGAAATGGCTTGTTTTGGGAAGGAAGAGTAGGTAAATCAAATGCACCAAAAAGAGCGTTATACTGGTTTAAATTTCCACTGACTACTGTAGAATACCTGGATTTATGTACACAGATGCCCTTCTAAAAAGATGTAGTAAGAAATTAGTAATTTGGGTTAATATTACTCCCCAACTCTCCACAGAAGAGCACGGCATCTAAAGACTAAGCCACTGACATCTAGTGGCTGCCACGCAAGATCTAGCATTTACAGAAACTGCGCAGGGTAAAAAGACTAATAATAACCCCCCCACGCTCACGGGGCATTTGTAACTTGCCTGCTATATTCTTATTAACAGCAAATTGGCTAATTTGTTCAAATTAGTCCTAATCCTGCGTTTTGAACATCACACGCAACTGAAGTTCTCTGAAGCGGAAGAAGGTGATCTTTCTGTAGGCAGCGTGTACATTTGTTCTCGTAGGCTGCACTGACGTAAATGAAAGCTGACGGCTTATATGAAACTCTAAATATTAGAGTTTAAGAGAATATTGTAAGCTTTCATGCCCTCATGACTACAGAATAAAATAGTTTGCTGTCATGCAATACTTAGACGATCTGATGTGACCCAAACATATATAAATTATATAACTTAATGCACTATTTTCTCCAAAATTGTGGCATATATTCGGCACTGATTACAGAAAATATATTAATCATAGCTGTACGTACTCTTTAACAACTCTTTAACAAGCTTTTACAGTGGCTATGACAAACTCATTTTGATGAGGTAGCTTTTAAAAGAGCCCTGTCTGAAGAAGACTTGTTGAGCAGTTTCTAGTAAAACCTTTTTGTGCTTAGGCATTGGAAGACGCTGTTGAGAGAGAGGAGACCAACTGCTCCACACTTCACAATAGATGGCTGGTGAAAGCAAATGACCAAGCAAATTCAGATTTGGTGAAAACTGGTCCAATTCCACTAGCCTGGACATCAATGACAGTGCACAAATTTACTGTTTTTTTCTCTTAAATAAATGTTACTGAATGCACAATACGTTCAGAGGCATGAATGCTTATCATCATTAATGTGAAGTCTCCTTCCCCCTCACTACTTCTCCAAAGTGAAAGCCAACTAGTTAAGTCTTTGGGCTTATTCACATTTATCTTCTGAGACATGCCAGAATTGCACTTTATGCTGCATTTAGCTAGAATTTTCGATATGCTTCAGGCAAAAAATAAAACTGAAAGTTATATTCCACCAGTTCATTATTTAAAATAAATAAAACACATAATTGAAGACTAACTGAATGGTGATAATCAAACATGAATTATAAAAGCATCTTTGGTTGTGTAATGTGTGCTTTAAAATGGTTAATAAAAAAAAGCTGGAGTTGGAACATAGCATAGAGCAGCAGCCCTTCCTCAGCAATGCTACTGCTACATGTCCGTACACTTCGAGAAAAACGAGGAGGAAGTTAATCTCACTGGGAGGAAACAAAAGGCTGGATGCAATCAACCTCTACATCTAGGACTTAAAAATATAAATTTTAAATTTTGGCAACAAGTAAAAAAGCGTAAAGTGTTTTTTTGTTCTGTTACAATTCTACGTTAGGAGAGATCCACAGAATTAACTTTTATAAAAATTCAACGTACTGCATAAGTTTTATTTAGGGATTTCATTTATATACCACAAATACTGCTTTTGATATAAGTACAATATAATACAGTTTTATTTATGTAACTGCTGGTGTTCGCTTTGGATCATGAACTTGAACGGCATGCTGTGCTGTCAAAACTTTAATAAAACGGCCTCTAGTTCTCCAAAGTATAAAATCATGCAAAAACCTACATCCTCTATGATACAACCAGTACAATAATTGAAGCCAGTAGCCTACAAACAGCCTGGACTATCTTCTGAGTTTGTACTTAAAGTGTCCACAAGTCGCCACATATTCCTTTAGACAGAAAGGAAGAATTTCAGTTTGGCCTGCAGAATCTCCTCACGGCCACTGAAACCAGCAACCGTGTGCACAGTTATCAGTCAACAAACCCTCGTTACCTAATGCAGTTCAGAGCGCACCTTTAGTCCGTATTGACAGGTTTGGGGTTAGGAAGTTTTACGTTTTCCTCCTGTGACTACTGGTCGCGCGTACTCCACAAAATCATCTATGAGAACAGGCCACGCTCCTAAAGAGAAGTCAAGCGAGATTCAGACATTAATGGATCATTATCAGCAATAAGCGGGTGTAATCTCTAAAAACAAAGGGTCAGAAGCTCTCTCTGACACTTCGGGCATACTCTAGCTTTAACATGCCTGAAGTGATACACACTTGAAGGAAGCACCTAACTCATTAAACATTTGAATTTCCTCCTGCAGCAATAGTTCTTCCAAACATTATTTAAAGCCTAACCCAGGCTACAAAGTTTATAAACATTAGTTGATAGCAAAACCATGGCATTCCTATTAGAGCCATTCATAGCTTAGGAAGTATTTCTGTACACGGTCATTCCAAATAGGAAATAGAGTGATGTTTATTATTTTAGTGCTGCAGCACTTTTGTACAAAACCCACAGTTTCACTGAGGCTCTTGGAGCATAACAGGTTCCACTGTGCTGTATTGTGGTGTGACAGTATCTGTACTTCCACTTACGCATTACAGCAAACTAGTTAAACTAATAATCATTACTGCTTTGGCAACAAGGATGACACTGTGTTTGCAGCTATATATCTAAGGGTAAACAAATTAAGACAGAAAGTAGCAGCGTGTTCTGTCGTTCATTTACCGCAGTTTTTTTAAATTCTGTGGTACCAATTTTTTTTTTTTTTTTTAAGATATCCCAGTACTGCTCACCTTCTTCATCATAGTTGGACATATCATCTGCAATCATATTTCCAAAGTCTAACAAAAGATTCCAAGTATCTTTTGGAATTGATCTTTTATGATGTTCCTGTAAAGAGGAAAAAATGGTATTGTTCAATCCAAACTACTGCCAGGTTCCACAGTAATATTTTATATTGACATAGATGGAAATACATGTTTTACAAGTATTTCTTCTTTCTTTCTTTTTTTTTTCTTTTTAAATAAAGTTCAAAGCTTCAAAGAAAGTTACAAAATAAACTGCAACGAAAGAAGGCAAAAAAGTGTATAAGTTGTTTTATTTCTTCTGTTCTGCTTTTAGGGTATGTGCTCCTAACTTGTTATGGAAAAAGAACAAAGCAAATGCACTTTATACTTCTACTTAACGGCATCCATTCCAGGTTCTCAAACTCCGCAGCCAAGGGTTAGCATTCTGCCATATCAGCTCGAGTCCTTTTTTCCTTACTCCTTTTTACTTACACTTACCCAGTTTCTCTTTTAACCTGTAAGTTATAGGCACATCTACACTCTTCTCACTCCCAGACTGCCTTCCGGATCCATCATCTCAGCCTCTACTCAGCTATTCCTCATAATGCACTACCTGCCTTTGCTCTACTTCTCTCCAGTGCCCTTTTTTCCCCCCCAGTCTGACCTGTTCTCCACTAGCACCTCCTTCTCTGATTCCAGGTATGCTCCTTCCACACCACCGCGTTCACAAGTACTGGTGTTTGAGCAGCACTCCAAAAAACTTCAGTCCCAGTCAGTGTTCTCTCAGCTTTTAAAGTTAGCACTCCCAGGATGAGAGTGTGTGTGGGGAAACACAACTACTACGCAGCTGTGAGCTGTAGGATCAAGTCAGACCATTCACATCTCACGGTCTGCCGATACTGCTGCATCGCCTGAAGATAGCAGGGACGATTAATAGGGAATTGAATTTCAACACCTGGTTATGGTTTGCAGCAAAAAGTTGTAACTGCACGAGAGACTTCCTCAGTGAAGGGCTGGGGTTTGTTTTGTGTTTGTGGTTGTTTTGTGTTATGGAATGGGTAGATTTTGTTTGCTTGTTTATTATTTTTTTAAGCAGTATTACTCTACAGTATTGAGAGGAACAAGCTGCATTTCAAAAATTTGGAACTCACTCGAAATGAGGTTGATGTCCAACACAACAGCAAACGTAACATTTGGCTTGACGGAGAGGACATATCTTGAGTGCAGCAAGTATAACAAGCAAACACATTTCCTGGAACAGGTTCCTTAAAACAAATGAAGCCAACAAAAACTCACCCCATCCTAAAGAGTGTTAACTTGCTTCCTTCTTAGGTTGATTTTTTTTTAAATCTAAACATTTATTCTAAAGTAAACATTCAGGTTAAATATTTGTAGCAAAGGAAGACACTTTCTATCAGATCATCTAGATTATTGCTTGAAGTAGAGATCTGCAGAGCTGTCGATTGTAACAAAACTGATCACACAGCCAAGCAGGGAGAAAAAATTCAGAGTTTTCTTTGTTTACATCTATAGATCTGAATTTGGATATGTTAAGTCTATTAAGGCAGTTAAATGTGAAATGTTTTCACAAGTTCTCTTGATGAAACTGTAAGCTATTCAGTGAATATGATTCTATGAATAAAATAAATATACTAGCCAAAAATTTCATAGAATCACAGAATGGTTTGGGTTGGAATGGTCCTTAAAGGCCATCTAGTTCCAACCCCCCTGCCACGGGCAGGGACACCTTCCACTAGAGTCAGGTTGCTCAGAGCCTAGAAAAACCTTCAGAAAATATTGTAAAAAGTATACGCTTTCCCTATCAAGCACTGTTGATTATGGGATAAATTAGATTTCTTAATCCTCCTAAACTACAGTTAAAAAGATAAATTAAAAAAAACCCAACAAGATAAATTACACATCACGTAACACTACATAAGGTGGTGGGGTTTTTTTGCAAGTACATAGAAATGCAAATGTAGAAACACGGATGAATGAATCAGGTCCTTAATAAGAGTATTTTGCAATTTCTAAAGTTTAATTTATGCATCTTTACTCCACTGCCCCCAGAATTGCGCTGGCAATAGAAAACTGTCAAGATCAGTTCACAACTGTTATCTAAAAAATGAGTGAAAATAACTACTCAGACAAGAACTTTCACTTAAAAACAAGTGTCTCTCATGTTAAGTCAGTCATAACAGAATTGACATTTTAAAAAGCCTGAGTTTATGCATTAATAGCACAAAAGGCAGAGCATGGTAAAATACAGGGCTGACAATAATCCCAGCTCTCTTGAGAGTAAGACAACACACGTTCAATCTATAATCATGGCTTCATTGCACGCAGAAGCTTTCGTAAGTAGGAGGATGCAGGACCAAGCAAGCAGAATGCCCTATTGCTTTGCTCCATCTTTTTGCATCCTTCTCAATTAGAAAATTATATAGAGAAGATTTAATTTGGCTTAAGACTATTTATATCGGTTTTCAGAGGAAAAAGTTTGAAGGAAATATTCAGACAGCCTGCCTTTTTCTTTACTGTAAGTACGCAGCCTGCAAGCCAGACTGCTGTGGGCGAAGACAGTCAGAAAGGAATACGGTACATACTTACCAACAAAAATTTATTCCAAAGGTCTAGAAATTTAAACCTTCCTGACAATACTAAATTCCAATATGCAATTGCCATTTCTAGATCTGCAAGACACAAAGCAACATGTAAATATTGCAGCACATTATATGCAATGAAACTCTTACGAACAAACAATTAATGCTACATCCATGATGATATAAATTAAATAACATTCTTTTAAAATCACTACAAAAAAATTATAAGGAACTGTTTTCTACTCTCGCTGACCCAAAAGGCAGGGGACAAGCTGTAATGGTATAAACTGTGTATTGAACACCGTAGTCGTAAAGACTAAAATCTTTTTGTCACCATCCAGCAGTGCTGGCTTAAAGATACTTTCCATCTACAGAAGCAGAACAAAGTAATTATCAATAACTCTGTCAAAACCAACCACAAAGATATATGTATCAATACATCAAATATCGATAGAAACCCAAACATTTAAGCCTGCAGGTGCCAATTCCTGTTAATTTATAGCATTTTTGACACACCTGACTTTAAATGGAATTTAAGGACACAAAGGGATAAAAAGAAGATTGGGATGGGGCGTGATAATTCTGCAGCACCCTTTACAGCAGCAATTCTCTCCTTCTGCAGTGATTCAACAGACAAACACCTACACCCAACACTGAAAGTATAAGCCCAAGAAAGCAGCCCTCATTCTGCACCACTAGCAGTGATCTGGGTGCAGGGCTATGTTCGTGCATGCCAACGGGGGGATGCAGCACTGCCACGCACTCGAGAGGAAAAATAGGAGCAATATTCGACGCAGCATAAGGGCAGGAAGGATGTTTTCTTGAAGGAGCGTTTTCATGCTCAGCAACTCACAATACCTAATGGTTCCTGCACGTGGTCCCACAGGTAACAGCACTCAATGTATGCACACTGCTGTGCAACCACAAAATAAAGCATAGCCTTTCTTAAACCACAAAAAGATTTTAGTCTGTGCTTTCAGAGTAAGCTAAGTATAAACAAACTATGAAACTCAGTATAAAGTATTATGATAGCAGACAAAAAGGAAGCTTGAGCTCCAACCGCAAGAAATAAGCACGGCATTTGAAATCATACATGCCACATTACAAACCAAAGGACACTGTCACCTGAAATCTAGTGTCAAGTCTGAAGGACATGTTCTAGATTTTAACATAGGCAGTTCCCTAGAGTCTGTATCATAGAGGGCCGGGGCCCAGACAAAGTGCAGTGGTTAAGATTCAGAGAAATGCAGTGCAGAACTTGCTTTGTGCCCTAATAAACTTCTCTGTCCTTCCTGTCTTTGCCACCATGCTCACTTTTCACAGAGAGTAAGTAGAATAGTTAATAGCATTTACTTGCTGTTTAGATATGCAGATTAATTATTCATATCTGTTATCCCAAATGAAAAGCAAAAGAAATGGGAAGGGAGAAACATGCCAATCTTGCAAATCTATCATGTGACAACATTAAGCAAAATGAACTTTGAAGAAAAATGTTTCAATAGCAGAAGAATTCTTATACTTCTGTTGAAATATTCCTTGGAAGAAGGTCCAGGCAAGGAAACAAATATGGTTTCAGGTCCCACCGAAAATTTAAAAGGGAAAGAAGAGGCCAAACTTCCTTGGTTTATTTGTGTACGTGTCAAATTTAGTATGACGTTAATGTGAACTTGGTTACTGCAAAATTGTATTTAACACAAAGCATGTGAAATACTATCTTAATTAAGTTGATACTTGAGGGATACATTACATGTGTCTGAAAGTCTATTCTCCTGCACACAGATATAGGAAATATTTGCTATAATGTACAACAAAAGCATATCCTGCTCAGGATGCTGCTCTGTAGCAGCTGAAACTGGTCCACACTAGAGCAGCTCTCCCCCAGCAAGCACATGGAGGGAAGTGCTGATCTTGGTTAAAATTAGCTCAAGGGAAAAAGATAAAAAAAGAAGTAAGTCTTCCTCATCTGGTTCACTGCAATCACACAAACCCATGAAGTAACACAAGAGAGAATTGAAGGAAAGGCCTAGATGGAACTGTCACTTTTGATAGAGGTGCCAGTCTAGGCAATCTTAAAATTATTTGAGAAAACTAGGCCTTCAGGGGATATGGCTACACTATGTTGAACAACTTGTCACTGGAGGACAGAAAAGAGGATTTTTCTGCTTTAAAGGGAAGACCTTTATAACCTAGTCATACAGAGTTCCAGTTCTACATTAGGATGCTGATAAAATCTTGCTGAGTGCACCCTCAGCAAGTTT